AAAAAAAAAAAAAAAAAAAAAAAAAAAAAAAAAAAAAAAAAAAAAAACTCCATGTTCATGTAAAAATGTCATCATAATTGTAGCTCCGATAGAAAAGTGATTTTCCTCATACTTGAGAAAAAGCACAAATTGGTTTTCTTTTTTTCCACAAATAATTCATATCGTTAATGTGAAGGCGCAGTATTGAGCTGTTACGTGTGAAGGGAAAAGAAGAAAAGTGACTTTCGTCGAAAAAAGGAACAACATTGTGCGTGAGTGAAAAAAAAAAAACAAAAAAAAACAAACAAAAAAGGGACATCCTCTCTGCAGGGGCTTACAAGGGGATAGAAACTTTAAATGCAGCAAAGGTTATAGTGAGGAGTGTGCTTCTACCGGTGAAGAAAAAGACCGTCACATATAAGTTTGCTAACTACCAATACCTACCTGTCAATTGAGTCGCCAACAAAATGTCGTTCCTCAGTAGCCCCTCGACCAACCACATGATAACGAACCTAACCAAAAGGACAAATGAATTCCAGTCCAAAATAGATAGCATACTTAACAAAATAAGCACAGAAAGCTTGCCCTTCCAGAAGAAGTCCTTTATTTGCTGTGTAAACTGCTTCGACACATACAACACGGACTTCGAGACAATCGGCAAGTGCGTGAACAACTGCCAGAAGGGGACGGAGCATTTCGTGCAGGTCGTCCAAAATGAGATGCAAAACTTGCAGAACAATTTGCAGTCTTGCCAACAGGTAAGCCAAAAAAAAAAAGGAAAAAATAAAATAATGCCCCGTCCGCGCCCCTGTGCAGCTTTATATGTGTGTGTGTGTGCTTTGGGGTGAGGCTACCTGGAAGGCATATCCAGTACAGAGGTTGCTACCCGTTTAATATGCATCTTCTCCACCCCCATGTGTACATTGTCGTCACCCGTTGTGCTGCTTCCCCCTGCCCCCTTTTTTTTTTTTCAGTCCTGCTTCTACAAGTACTCCCCAAATTATGCCAAGAGCAACGCTAACATAGACGGCCCAAGCATCGAAAAGGAAATGGAGGGGTGCGTGGTCAAGTGCTTCGACAAGCATGAACCCATGCTGCCGGAAATATCCGACCGCCTGCACAAGACGCTAAAGGAGGAAATGAAGTGAGGAGAAGTGATCACAAGTGAGGAGACGCGATGTGGTGTGAACTTCCCCAAGTTGGGTATCACCAAAGGAGCAACAACGGAAGAAACGGTGCCTGAGTCCGCCCGCATGGGAGAAAAACAACACAAGGAACACAACACAGGGATAGGGATATGTCATTACCGCACAGCATGGCTAACTAACGCAACAGTTACGTGGGGGGGGATCTCTCCCCTCGCCGTCCAGCGTTGTACAATTATTTGCTTTGATGACTTTTTTTTTTTTTTTTTTTTTTTAAGACAATGCAGTAGTTTTGCAGAAGACAGTTTGGTTGTTCACCTTCCAGCGCATACACTTGTATGTTTTGTTTATGTACCTACACGCATGTGCCCCTTTTCATTTCCCCATTTTTGAATCTCCTTATCTCTCACGAAAGTTTCCTTTTTTTTTTTTTTTTCTTTTAATTTTAACTTCAAATTGGTGTGCATATGTATGTACATAGTTTGTGTGCAAAGGGGGGGAATTCATTTCCACAATTAATTTTTAAGACTGTTGTTTTTTTTTTTTTTTTTTTTTTTTTTTTTTTTTT